GGTCATCTAAAACATATCATACTCATTGGGAGCTTATTTGGATGTGAATGCACACGATTTACTTGTGATACAGTGCATGTCATTAATCACCATTCAGCTACTTGGGGTCGCACGTGATTAATCACTATTCCCCTTAACAACCTACCTAAATTTCAATCGTGAGGGCTGATAAAAACCTAAAAAGGTTGTGAAGCAATTATATTTTTCATTTCTAAAACAATTATGAATTTCTCCTTCCTCACCATATTATGTTACATGGACTTGGTTTGGTTGCATATTCAGAAGTTACTTTTTCACAATATTTCATTATTTTGAAGTGGCTAACAGGCATGCACATACCTGTTCCATGTTTGGTTGAAGCAAAGGGTCAGATGCATTTACTTATTCAACAAATACTTGAAATTCATGAATAGAAATCTCATTTGTTGTTCCTCTCATAGACTTTTGTTTTTCAATTTTAAAAATCATTTTGCAGGTGTACCAGATTTTGCTGAAGTCTATACCTTTATTGGAAGTGTCTTTGATCCAGACACTAAAGGTCACATGCAGAAGCTCAAGGAGATGGATCCTATTAACTTTGAAACTGTGAGTTAGTTGAAAATTTACCAGTTTCTATTGACTACTTTTCAAGCACAAGATGCCTCTTAGTGATATGATGTGTGTTTAAAACTTTATTTTTATTTTTATATATATTAAATTACGAGTAATTGGTGATGGAACCTCTACATAAGTGACTATTGGCTCACAAACATCTTATATGCAGTTGATAAGAGCATAACTGATGTATCTATGAGGAGAGGGGGTGCTGAAGAGGACCTAGCTCTTGGTGTTTCATGAAATGGAGATATGCAGTTTGGATTATTGTGTTGTTTCCCCCCTTGTCGAATGTGGCGAAATATATTTTAAACTACTAGCAATATTGTGACATAGGATTTTGGGCTGTAAAGGGACAGCTTGTTGAAAATAGTGTTGCTAAAATGATTGAATGGTAGCATTACATGATCCCTCGATTCCGCTTGGCCTTGTTCTCGCTCCTCTTTATCGCACCCACCCCCCCTCCCTTGTGGGCAGTTCCAGTGGCCCCTGATGGATATCTTATAGCGGGTTGAAACATATCCTGGTTCTATGCTACTAGCCCTTGGTTCTTATAAAGATTAACCTAAGCTATAAGAGCTTTAACATAGTGACTTGTGCCAATTTTTAATACCTTGGCATGGTCATGATTTGATGCCTTTCCCCCCTCCCACTGTCAGGCAAGACATTAGTATTGAGAACAGCTCAATGAGATTCTGTAAAAATACTTTTGCCTTTGCACTGGAAAACCAAAATTCAATGTGGAAGAAGAAGAGAGTGTTGGTAATTAGCAATGACATCTAAATTTACATGAGATTGAATGTTGTGGAGCTATTTAGTAAGTTTTGGTGGCATGCACTCACTCTTGTTGCGTGCATTTGCACAAAATTGCCTGACAAACTCTGTCGATCTTCAACATGAAATCCTAATCTTCTTGTCAATGTAATGTTCAAATATCATGTTGCTGGCTGGGTCAATGTAATGTTCTACATTCTATTAGATGGATAATTTATTGGCTAGTGAAAGTCTTGATTTCTTGGTTCCCTGGACGTGTAGGTTTTGTTGCTGATGAGGAACCTCACCATCAACTTGTCTAGTCCTGGTTTCGAGCCCATTGTAAGTTTTCTTTTTCTTCAATACTATGATGGATACTTCATTTGACACAGCTCTTTATTATGGTGATGAATACATATTGTCATGTTCTGTCTATAATGCCCATATTTTTTTGGACTTGGCAGAGTTACAATACATTTTATGTTAATATTTTGTTCATTGCTCTTCTATAAAGTTGTAGCTTGCTGTGAACTTGCATTTTGGATGAGTCAAGTCGGAACAAATTTATGCCCGGGTCATTTGCAGGCCTACTAGTTTCTTCTCATGATGTTGGCATTTAAGACAATTTTGTGCAAATGTAATTATACAGGACACCAAATATGTAAAGAATTGGTGTGAGAAAAAAGAAAGAAAAGAAAAGAAGAAGATTGGCTTGCAAGTGAGTGAAGATACCATATAATTAAACAGGAACCAACTAGAGGATTTCAATATATGCCATTTTACTTTATTTTGTCCACAATCACATTCTTAAAAATTTATGAAACCTCTTAAATAAATTCTGCAGTTTTGACATGTAGATGATTTCATTGGCCAGTGCAGAGAAAGGTCTTGTCATCATATGATGTCAATACCACAACTGTAGGAATGGCCGCAGGAAATGTAGCGAAGAACAAGAACAATGTGCTATCATGTTGAAATGTCGAGTAGGGCTTCTAAGTTGCCATGTAGTAAGTATTCCCCTTTACTCTGCACTACAACCAATCAAAAAATTGGGAAAATTTTCCATTTTATGGTCACTGGGCTAACATCTAACATCAATGTCTGTGTTTTTATGTCAACATTTATAGGTGAGAAGACTGACAATTCTCAAGCGGCATGCTCTGAAATATACCGAGTTCAAGGATATATAAAAATGCTGCTGCAGCTGGTACAACTGGAGAGAATTACCAGATGAAAAGAAAACATTCTCCATTCTAGTGATCTGGGTGTATGTATTTCCTGTAGGATCAGTTTGTGGCAATATTATCCTTCTTAAATAAATAAATAAATGTCATTCTCAATTTTGTGCAGCATAACTTGTTAAGACAATGTTGCAGATTGTATGTATTTCTTGTATGATATGAGTCTTTCTACCAGCTGAATTATGGTGATTTGTATTTTGTTGACAAGAAGAAATGTGAAGAACATTTCTTCAGTTCTCCATAAAGTGATTATTTTGTTTTTTCTTTTTTGGTTGGGCTAGAAAAATAATAATAATAATAATAATTTTACAAATATCAAACACAATCACACCAAAGTAGTTTTGTATTTTATTTTTTGGTTGGGCTAGAAAAATAATAAAAACTGCTTTTTCCATCAGTTGATAGGAGGATGTTACATTTTTACAAATATCAAAGATAGTTGCACTAAACTAGACAATCTAACAGGACACTCCTAACGGATGAAAACAAATTTCATAATAAAAAAAATCAAATTTATTTTTGACAAAGAATAACCATTCAGCCACTTAATTAAAAGTGTACAAGAGTGATTCACTGCGCGTTATTTTTCTCATAAATTTTTGAGATAATTTTAGTATGGACTTCTAACATAGTTGGTTTTAAGGTATTTGAGGATAAGTTAAATAAGTTGAGGCAAATATTGTTGACTGTGTATTGTGATGTGATGGTAAAAAATATTTTGAAAATAATAAAAAAAAATAAATTTAAAATGGTTCAAAGAAAATAAAAAAAATGTTATAAAATTCATGAAAAGTGTATTGAATTTTTGCATTTGTTGTCTTTTTCTTGTATTCCTACAGCAGGGAATTATCCTGCCTTTTCCAAATTTCAATTAGATTGGATACCTTTTAATTCTATTAGTTGTTTTATTTAATATATACATATATACATTGGAGAAAAAATAAAAAAGAGTAATAGATAACCAATAGAATTGTAAAACTATACCTCTTTGAAGAAAAGGGATTTTGCAGAGCAAGAGTGGCTTATAGCCGGCAATTCCTGCTTGACTTTGATTTGCGTGTTCTGAAATCGGATTTGCTTATATAATATAATAGAGAAGTGGCTTTCCCAACAGGGATTCTTCTTTGATCTATACCGGTACATCCCTTCGCTTTAAGAACAAGCTTTCTTTCTTAGCGTTAGTTGTAGGCTTTTCTCCTCGCTGAAGAGCTTCCTACCATACTGTGATTATTCTCTATCTCTGACCATGCTAAATTGGCATATGTGGCAGACCTGTGATAGGTTTTTTTCGTAAGGCACTTGTTAGCAAAACCCAAAAGTTAAATAGACGATAATTAAAGTCAATTTATTCTCTTTATTTTTCTACATATTTTTCATAAAAAATAAAAATAAAAACTAAAAAATTCAGGGCTTGTTTGGTTTGTTTTTTAGAGAGTTGTTTTTGAAAAAAATTTTCAAAATTTTGTTTGGTTTGTGATTTTTTCGAAAAAATTCTAAAATCAATTTGGCCTTGTTTGGCTTGCTTTTGAAAAACAAATTTTGGATAAAAAATTTCAAAATTTTGTTTGGTTTAGTGATTTTGGAAAAAAAAAACTTCAAAATCACTTTCAATTATTTTTTTTCTTACCTACATATACTCAATTACAACAAAATATCAAATCATCACAAACTCCTATACTCCAAAACTATTTCCAAAATATATAACCAAACAAACCAAATTTTTTTTTAAACTCTCTTCTCAAAATATTTTTTAAAAATTTATCTCCCAAAACCAATACAAACACACCATTTATCTCTTTTACATATCAATCAATCATTTTTTTCTCTCTTCTCTCTCCTTTTCAATCATTTTTTTCCTCACATACATCTACTAAATTACAACAGAATATCAAACCATCTTAAACTCACAAACTCCAAAATCACTTTCAAAATATACAACTAAACAAACTAAAAAAATTTATAAACCCTCTTCTCAATTTTTCTTTTGAAAATCACTCTCTCAAAAAGCAAACCAAACACAGGTGGTGTTTGTTCAAACTTTTTTTACCCAACTTCTAGCTTTTAGCTTAAAATAAGCTAATTCAAACTGTTTGGTAGAGTTGAATCTGCTTCAGCTTCAACATCTACAGATTATAGGCAAGGTAAAAAAGCTGAAATTCAAAAGCTGGTTCAAGCTGCTTTAGGGGGAGCTTCTATTTGCACACACAATATACATTTTTTGCACATCCTCCTCACTACACTTTTTACACATCTTCTTTATTAAGTGTGTGTATAGAGTGTGTTTGGTGTGTGTAAATAGAAACTCCTTGCTTCAGATTCTCACGGGTAATATGGGGAAGGCAAATATACTTAAATGTCCTCTGTGTTTTGAAATATTTACTCTTATACCACCAATATATATTCTTTTTTTTTTGCCCTGATCTCTCTTTGGCAAGAGCTCAGCAGCAAGCAGCAGCAAGTATTGCGACTCTGGTTCGCTTCCGGCACCGGTTCACTTCCGGAGACGTGAAGCTCTGGTTTGTTTCCGGCGTTGGTTCGCTTCCGGCGACGTGCGGCTCTGGTTCGTTTCCGACTCTGGATCTGTTTCTCTCTTTCCAATTCTGGTTCGTTTCCTTCATCTTTGATGTTTCCTTTTCTTGCTCGGCATGCATATATATATATATATATATATATGTGTGTGTGTGTGTGTATTGTTTTGGTTATTTTTTTATTTTAAATTTGTTCAGCATGCATGTCTATTTCAAATTTGTTCAAATTGGGGAAAATAAGAATAGTTAGGGTTTAGAAAAAATTTGAGGTGAAAAATATTTAGTGCAATAATGGCGTGAAAATATCTTGAAAGTTGTACAGATTGGTTAACCCCTTGAAAGCAAACACTCCATTTCAAACCAAAAAAGGGAAACAAATAATTCTGTTTGCTTATTTTTCACAATATGTTTTCTGTTGTTTATTTATTTATTATTATTTAAATAGAAACTGGTTTGACGAAAATAAATAGCAAAAAGATATTTTCACCCAAAAACAGAGAAACATATGAAAATAATGATTTTTTGATTTTTCTCATTTTTTTCAGCAAACTAGTTTTTTTTTCTTCTTTTTCTTCTCAAAAAACATATATTGAAAACAAAACCAAACAAAGATAAGAAGTACCTTTTTTATGACATTATACATGATCTTGTAATAAAATGTGATCTTGACTTATTCAGCCAAGCTGAAAATCTAAGCAATCCGAATTGAAACTGACCTATATTTCATTCTGAAATAGCGGCAATAACAACAAATGTTGCGATCGATAGTGACAACTAAATTTAATATATAATCAAAATTTTAAAAATTCTCAAGATGACAATGGGGCAAGAAAAACCATATATGAAGTTATAGAAAACAACGCACTCTAGCAAACAAAATAGACACTAAGCCATCAAATTACATTATTCAGTCCTATCAAAGCAAAGCAAGCCAGTCAATTGCAAATGGGGGATAAAAAATTACAATCTTTAAAAAGAACCATCACATCCCACTAATGCCTGCACAAATCCAACATTCATCTCACCATATTTTTTTACTAAAATACAATTATAGATGTGTAATTACTCTTCAAATTCTAGGGTTTCCTCAAGTGGGGTCTCTAAATTTTGAGTGCAAACTCTTCCCTACAGTTCTAGCCTTCTGTGTTGTTCCTCAACTTTATAAGGTTTCTCAAATGGGTCATTGAATTTTGTTTATAATCCTTCTGTACAGATCTATGCAATACAAGAATTCCTAAAAATTTAGGGTTTTTAGAGCATCCACAATGGGCTGCCAAAGGAGCTGCCATTGCCAGCAAAAACTTCCCCAAACAAAAAATAATGGCATTGTTTGGTTTGTTTTTCAGAAAAAGTTTTGAGAAAAATTCTCTACAAATAATTTTTCAAGAGTAATCAAACCAAACAAATTTTTTCAAAAAAAATCTCAAAATTTTGTTTGGTTGCCTACTTTCCAAAATTACTCCCTTTCTCATACACATCAAATTAATCACTTTTTTAAAACTCTCTCCCCAAAACAATTTTCCAAAACAATTTTTGAAAAAAGACAAACCAAACAAGTTTTCGTACTTTTTTATCTCAAAAACTACTCTACAAATACAAAACAAACACACCCAATGTTTTTTTAACAAAATTCACCAAAAAAAAAAAGAAGACTAAAAACAACAATTACCAAGCAATTTCAAGCAATCTCAACTAATCTCAAGCAATTTGAAGCAAATTTTAAGCGATTCTCCATCATCAAAAAGACAATTTCAGAGAAATAAAAACCTGAATTTGAATATGCGTGATGGATTTTCAGACGATTTGAGCAATCTGAAGTTTCGTCTTGTTCGTTTGCTTGCTTTGTATTAGGGTTCGTGTGTGGGGTTTAGGGGGTTTCGACTTCATCTGATTTGTCTTAGGGTTTGTTTATGCTTCGTCTTCATGTTCTCCATCATAAAGACGATTTGAAGGAGTCGATTTCAAGGGCTTCGGGTTTCTCGCTTTCTCTTGAACAACTTGTGTTCTCTCTTGAGCTCAGGTAGAGTCTCGAATTAGGGCCCAAGTACATGTACATATATACTTTGAGGGTAAATATGTACATGTATATATGTAAATTTTTGTAAAGTATATTTTTTTACATATATAATTAGCAAAAATCTACCCTCAAAGTATATATGTACATGTACAATTTGAGGGCATATGTACATATATGTAAATATGTACATATTTACATAAATTATGTAAATTATATACCCTCAAATTATGTAAATTATTTACATATAATTTACATGTACCCTCAAATTAGGGCCCTAAATTATATGTAAATTATACGTAAATTCGAGACTTGGGCCCTAAATTATATACGTATGTAATTTACATGTACATACGTATATATAATTTACATGTATATACGTATGTAATTTGCATGTACATATGTATATTATCATTATATACGTATGTAATTTACGTGTACTTGGGCCATAATTCGAGACTCTGCCTGAGCTCAAGAGAGAACACAAGTTGTTCAAGAGAAAGCAAGAAACCCAAAGCCCTTGAAATCGACTCCTTCAAATCGTCTTTATGATGGGAAACATGAAGACGAAGCACAAACAAACCCTAAGATGAATAAGATGAAGTCGAAACCCCCTAAACCCCACACACGAACCCTAATATGAAACAAGTAGACGAATAAGACGAAGCTTCAAATTGCTCAAATCGTCTGAAAATCCATCACGCATCTTCAAATTCAGGTTTTTATTTCTCTGAAATCGTCTTTCTAATGATGGAGAATCGCTTAAAATTTGCTTCAAATTGCTTGAGATTTGTTTGATATTGCTTGAAATTTGTTTGAAATTGCTTGGTAATTGTTGTTTTTAGTCTTTTTTTTTTTGGGGTGAATTTCGTTAAAAAATATTATTTTTTGTTTGGGGAAGTTTTTGCTGGCAATGGCAGCTCTTTTGGCAGCCCATTGTGGATGCTCTAAAAACCCTAAATTTTTAGGAATTCTTGTATTGCATAGATCTGTACAGAAGGATTATAAATAAAATTCAATGACCCATTTGAGAAAACTTATAAAGTTAAGGAACAACACAGAAGGTTAGAATTGTAGGGAAGAGTTTGCACTCAAAATTCAAAGACCCCACTTGAGGAAACCCTAGAATTTGAAGAGTAATTGCACATCTATATCATTATTTTCATATGGTTCTCTGTTTTTGGGTGAAAATATCTTTTTGCTATTTATTTTCATCAAACCAGTTTCTATTTAAATAATAATAAATAACGGAAAACATATTGCGAAAAATAAGCAAACAAAATTATTTGTTTCCCTTTTTTGGTTTGAAATGGAGTGTTTGCTTTCAAGGGGTTAACCAATCTGTACAACTTTCAAGATATTTTCACGCCATTATTGCACTAAATATTTTTTTGGTTGAAATAATAGATTAACTTATGGAAGTTCCTCTCTAGGGTTTTATTTTATGTATCATGAAAAAGAGTTATGTCAACCTTTGTACTTATTAGTAGGCTAGTAGTAGCCAACCTTGTTTCTATTTCTGCTTCATGGTCATGAATATAAATGTTTTTATCACATTTTTGAAGAAAATAAACAGTGTTGTTGTATTTTCTTCCTTTTTTTACCTCTTTATGTTTGCATTTAAAATCAATTATGTTGCCTGCATTCTTGTTGAGCCATTTTGTCGTGACCTCCTGATCAATCTTTTCAACCTATATAGATAGTTTTATTGTGCCAATTATTCAAATGTAGTAACAGTTTAAGAACATATTAGTTGGATGAATTTGAAGATAATTCTATTCACTCTGAAGTAACTGAGTATACTACGGGTTTGTAGCTCTATTTTCATCTCTTTTTGTTGTGTGTGTGGATAATTTCATCTTACTGGGTCATTAGTATAATTCTTACAAATGAAGCCTTGTATGTAATGATGATTTTTTTTTTTAATGTTCCATGCGTATAGGAATTGTATCTGTCTGTTATGTTGCCGGGGGATGTCTGATAGAAAAAGCTCATTTATCTTTTCTACAATTATCATTGTTTTTGTGGAACGTTTTGTTGTTTTTCATTAATATTTTCAGGTTGCATTGACCATCCTTTCTTCTTCTTAATTGTTGTTTTAGGTTTCTCTGAAAGGGAGTGGAAGTTCAAAATGCTGCAAAATGTCCCACATCAAATTGTACAATCACCAGCCAGACTAGGCCTGCCAAACCCAAATTCACCCTCTTTACAAAACCCTACCCCTCCTAAATCCTCCTCTCAACTCCCACAACCTCAGCTCCCCAATCAACAATCAAATTTGTCAAAAGCCACGACCACCTCCTCAACTCTTCTTCCTCTACTTCCGCCTCTCTCTAGAGCCCAATGTCTTCTCCTTCAAATGGCTTCCCTTGCATCTCGGCTATTTGAGGTCTCACCCAATAGGTCTCATTGGCTTAGTGCCTTCCGTGGCTCCCTTCCTACCTTTCTATCATCCCAAACCCAATCCACAACACCAGTTCAACCAGACTCCTTGCCTTCCACCACCAAAGAAATCCTCTCCCTTTTTACAACCCTTCAAACTCAGCTCTTTGAAGCTGTTGCAGAACTTCAAGAAATTCTTGATCTTCAAGATGCTAAGCAGAAAGTTGCTCGTGAAATCAGGTCAAACGATTCCGCAATGCTTTCCTTCGCTAACAAACTTAAAGAAGCCGAACGGGTTCTTGACATTCTCGTCGATGATTATTCTGATTATCGCCGCCCCAAAAGATCAAAATCAGAAGATGATAAGGATGATTCTTGTACCACAACTATTTCTACTCAGCTGAATTTATCTGACATTCTATCATATGCCCACAGGATAAGCTACACAACATTTGCACCGCCAGAATTTGGTGCTGGGCAGGCTCCTTTGCGTGGGGCACTCCCACCTGCTCCACAGGAGGAGCAACTGCGCGCTTCTCAGTTGTATGCATTCGCTGATCTCGATGTTGGTTTACCTAAATCAGCAGAAAGCAAGGAGAAAACAATTGAGCCATTCATTGAGGCTCCTCCTGCACAACAGCCAGACTCGAATCCACTTGCTAATCTCACTGGTATTCAGGGTCTGATTCCTCTAAATTTTGTGATTCCATCTGGATGGAAGCCTGGGATGCCTGTGGAATTGCCTAGTGATTTACCTATGATGCCCCCACTTGGCTGGAAGCCTGGTGACCCAATTCCGTTGCCACCATTGGATAGTCTCCCAATTGCTGGTAGAATTGAGGAGCAACAACCACGACCCACAAGGAATACCCAAAGTACCTGAACCAATACAAGTTCGGCATGTTCAGCTTGATATTGATGATGATAGTAGTGATTATAGTAGTGACATGGGAAGCTCTGATGATGAAGATTGACAGTTGACCAGGTCCACTTTTGAGTTTTCCGATCTCTTTGAAGTACTTGAGGTAGGCACACTTGGAAGTTGGACTTGTTCTACCCTTACAAGGTGTAACTAAATGTGCAATGTTTGCATTTTTTAGATCAATTTGCTGTATAAAATGTTTTGTATCTTACTGGGATTCTAGAATTAGAGTTTTCGTTTTGATTTTGAGCTACATAACTTGAACGCCTAAATTATGAGTTATGTGTTGAAGTTCTCATCCTCACTCGAGAAGTCTTCTTAGGTTTCTGTTTCAAGAAAAATATGATGTGAAGATTTACTCGGTGTTCGTGACATCCTCTGTTTGATCAAGATAGTGTAATATTCGAGCCCAATTGCTAATATTTGCTTCTTCAGTTCTAGCTGGACAATGAATTGTTTGGTTTATTGATTTTAGGATGTGCTCTCTCGTCTGTGTGGTTTTGTTTTCAGTACTTTGAAATTTTAAATAGCAGTGCTAATAAACCTCGATATCATGGATAACTCATGTATAATTATATGAAGAGGGACCTAGTACAAATCTTTGGTTGCATCGCTTTGTTATATGGAAGCTCAAAGGAGTGTTTTGTGAAAGGATTGAAGTTTCACAAATTTGTTTTCATACTTGGCTTCTGTGGAAATAGAGCATGTGTTATTTTTCTTTGTTTACTAGTGGTCTCTCCTACAATGCTGATCTATAGGCTTTATTTTGTTTTGAAATGGTTTGAAGCAATCTAGTTAATTTCTGGGGACTCACGGATTGGGAACTCCATTAATGTTTGATCCTCACTTCCATCATTCAGTGTGCTAAATTTGCAGAATTGAATTCTTTGAATGCATTCCATCAATTGTAACCAATTTCTCCAGGTGAAAAAACCGTCAAGTCTCATAATTGTATTAACATAATTTTATTATATTTATTTTAAAAAAATAATACTATATGCTTAGAAAAATATATTTATAGACAACAATTATTCTGGGTGTTGTCCACATTCTATGAATTTTAGATTTCTACTGCACACTTCATTTTTAAGGTAAATTTTGTGATGAAAATTCTTGGTATATAATATTTTTCTAAAAAAATAAAAAAAATTGACCGATCTATTTTGAATAGCATAATTATTACTTTTTTAATGTACCCATTCAAAAAATTAAATTCAATCAATAACTATTTTAACATAATTTCATTGTATTTATTTTTAGAAGTATAGTTTTGATAGAGCCATGTGGTCAATTTTATTTTTTTTTTTTTTTTGGTTACGTAGGGTATCCTAGGCCAGTTTATGCACATCAAACTAAGTTCCTACAATTCGAACAAGCCTTTCGAAACATGTTTATGCCCTACAGTTCGTGACCCTAAGGTGTGCGCTCCGAACAAGCCTTTCAAAACAGGTTTATGCCCTGCGGTTCGTGAACCTAATAGTTCGTGACCCTAAGGTGTGCGCTCCGAACAAGCCTTTCGAAACAGGTTTATGCCCTGCGGTTCGTGAACCTAAGGTGTGCGCTTGCTGACTAGGGGATTTGAACCTGAGACTTGAGAGGGAGCGAACCTTCAAGCTCCAGTCGTCACCTACTAGGCCAATCACTCTGTGGTTAAGTCATGTGGTCATGATTAATGAATTAATTTGATTTTTTTTTTCTACAAGCGTACATTTTCCCTCCAGTTTATCATTGAGAGTGAGTCCATCAATTCACAAAATTGTTCACATATTTTCAAATCGCCCATTGTAATGGGAAAATAGTGATCTTAGGCATAAGTGCAGCTACAATCTTCTCAGATTTTTTTTATTATATTAAATTTAAATTTAATAAACAAAATTATTAAAAAATCATCTTCAATTCATCAAGATATTCATATTATCCCAATTTTGATGAAAAATCCCAAATCCCAAAGAAAAATTTGGGATAAAAATAAAATTTCAATTTTCATGAAAATATTACAGTAATTCACATTAAATTATATACATATATATATATATATATAAAAGTAACGAAAATTTGGAGATAGTCAAGGCTACCCAAGTAGTCTTATTTATCACTAGTCTAACTAAAACCCAGCATCCAAACACTACCCAAAACACCCATCCATGGCATGGCACATTCGTAATAAAACCCCATTTCCACCTCTATATAAACCACACTAACCCTAATTCCTCTTTCTCTACCCCCAAAACCCTAACCCTTGCCTCTCTTCAGTTCTCTCCACCACCAGCAGAAATGGCCGCTGCTCGCCCTCTCGTCTCCGTCCACAACCTGGACTCCGACATGGCCACCGACGGCGCCACCACCACCCTCCCCTTACCGGACGTCATGAAATCCTCCATCCGCCCCGACATCGTCAACTACGTTCACACCAACATCTCCAAGAACTCCCGCCAGCCCTACGCCGTCTCCAAAAAGGCCGGCCACCAGACCTCCGCCGAGTCCTGGGGCACCGGTCGCGCCGTCTCCCGTATCCCCCGTGTTCCCGGCGGCGGCACTCACCGCGCCGGCCAAGGTGCTTTCGGAAACATGTGCCGCGGCGGCCGCATGTTCGCTCCGACCAAGATCTGGCGCCGCTGGCACCGCCGCATCAACGTCAACCAGAAGCGCTACGCCGTCGCCTCCGCCATCGCAGCCTCTGCCGTTCCCTCCCTCGTCATGGCTCGCGGCCACCGCATCGATTCGGTCCCTGAGATCCCTCTCGTCGTCAGCGATTCTACTGAAGGAATCGAGAAGACTTCGGCGGCGATCAAGGCTTTGAAGCAGATTGGAGCTTATTCTGATGCTGAGAAAGCGAAAGATAGCCAGGCGATTCGTCCTGGTAAAGGTAAAATGCGTAATCGTCGATACATTTCCCGAAAAGGTCCACTCATTGTTTATGGAACCGAGGGTTCGAAGCTCGTGAAAGCATTTCGCAACATTCCGGGTGTTGAGATTGCCAATGTTGAGCGCCTCAATCTTCTGAAGCTCGCCCCCGGTGGTCATCTCGGCCGATTCATTGTCTGGACTAAATCGGCTTTCGAGAAGTTGGATTCGATTTACGGATCGTTTGAGAAGCCGTCGGAGAAGAAAAAGGGGTACGTGTTGCCGAGGTCGAAGATGGGGAACGCGGACTTGACTAGGATTATTAACTCTGATGAAGTGCAGTCAGTGGTGAGGCCAATTAAGAAGGAGGTGAAGAGGGCACCAATGAAGAAGAACCCGCTGAAGAATTTGAATACTATGTTGAAGCTGAACCCGTATGCCAAGACTGCGAAGAGGATGGCGCTTCTTGCTGAGGCTCAGCGAGTCAAGTCTAAGAAGGAAAAGCTTGATCAGAAGAGGAAGCCAATCACTAAGGTATATTTACTGTGTTTTCATGTATGCAATTGTATGCTCGAATTCTTGTTTGCTTGAGAAATGTTAGTGATTTTGCTTTAGCAAGCTGTCATAGATGGTCAATGAAAATGTTAATATTAAAGCTAACTCTATAAGAAGCTGAAAAAGTTTTTGAATTTATGGGGATATGTATCCATATACTTGTGGCACTGGAGAGGGTATACAGAGCTTTCAAGTTTAATATTAGTGAAAATGGCTCCCTTAATTGATTGAAATTGAGTTCTAATTTGAGATTTTTTCCTTTTGTTATGGGATTAATTACAATGTGGTAACACATGGGTTTGGGGTTGCTCTTTTTAAGTTGTATGAAAACCAGTAGTGTCAAGTGGGACATGGTAAGACCAACCAATGCTGTTGCATGAGCACAATATAGTTCTCTCACCGCTAAAAACATTGTCTTAAAATTATGTGCTGCATTTGGGTGTATATCTAAACTTTCAAATTTGTTCGATTGGTTTATGTTGGTCTGTTATGAACAGCTGAAAAAACATTTTGATGACTACAATAATTCTAGAACATTCATGCTCCTTGTATGTTGAAGTCTTGTGGTTTGGTACTTGTTCTAGATTTGTTTACATGAAAGTTATTATTTTTTGACATATTCCTAAAAATTCATTATCCATTTGCTATGCGGATTGCCAAGAAATTGGTTTTGGTTTGGGTTTGGGTTTGGGTTTCGTCCGGCGATATGCTTGTTTACTGGTTCCAACTTGTTCCATGTTTAAATATTTGGGTTTGGCCACTGAATATTGATGAAATTTACTCTAGTTCTGTGTTAGTGTGTGTTTTGTTAGCGACTTATTGTGCAATAATCCTGTTGATATCTTCTGAAGATGAATTGTTAGCAATTATGTGCTTTCTATTTATCATTGAACTCCAACCTTAGGTTTAGGGGATTGCTTCCCATTCTTTTGCATAATTGTCCTGAGTAGTTGGGCAGGCATGGGGAGTGAGCTCCCCCTTTTTTCTTTAATTTTATTTGAGAAAATTAAAAGTTGTCATTATAAGTAATCTCTCATATTGTGCTTAAGACTGAATGTAGGCTGTTGGCTTATTTTATTCTCTTTTTAATGCACACTTCACATTTTCACCCTTGGCAGGAGGAGGCTGCCAAAATCAAGGCTGGTGGAAAGGCATGGTACAAGACAATGATATCGGATAGTGATTACACCGAGTTTGAAAACTTCTCAAAGTGGTTGGGCGTCTCCCAGTGATTTACTTTTCTTCTGCCTTTGGTTTTGTCTTAGAGATACTATCTTATCTGTTTGTTTTTGTTTTTGTTTTTTTTTTAAGTGTTGTCAATTTGTTTTTTTGTTTTTTTTTTTGTGCCGGTTTTAAGACTTTAAAGGAAAGGGGGAATTACTGGAATAATAGTTATCTTCATCAAATTGAGTTTCCTCCCTTCCATGTTTTGGTGTCATAACTTCATGATGGCTAGTTGGATGAAAGTTTCATGTTAAACAGAACCTCGAGTTAGATATTTACAGTTGAAGTTTGTCATTCAAAAAATGGTTTTTTAGTATATCTTTATTGTGGTTGTTGTGCGGCTTTTAGTTTTGCATTTGGGCTTAAGTTGCATGTTTGTGGCTCTGTAAGAATGAGTTTGGCTCTTGGTGCGATTATTTACAAAATAGGATTTCGGATCTTCTGTTCCATTCTCTTGCCACTTCGTTCTCACTCAAAAGAGTAATGGGATGAGAATTAATTTTGAGAATGGTGATGGGACAATATTTCAATGGAGAATCGGTGTGGAGGAGGATCCCATGCATGAAATTACTCTTTGCCGGTGGTATATGTTTCTTTTGACAGCTCTATTTGGAATTCAGTCTTCTTCTGAGGATTTTTAAGGATTTAGTTAATCTGGTTGCCCTTTCTTTTTCACCTCTTTGATTAGGCCATTTTGTGGAGAAATGATAAAATATGGTTGCAAGGCCAGTATAAAGAATGAATAGGTTGTCTATGTATGGAAGTTACGTTTCTAATTTGTCTTTTTTTTTTTTCTTTTTTTATTTTGTTTGTGACGTATTTGCATTGGCATTGTGCTATTGAAAATTAAGGTTCATGGTTTTCAATTAAGTTTTCATGTAAAATGTTTAGGACACTTGAAACTTTATTCTTATATTTACCTAATGGCGAACTTTTTAACAAATTTTTTTAATTAATTTATTTTTATTGATTTCATATTTTTTTTACCTATTAGTTTTCTTTTTATTTAATTAAAGGAATTTTGGTCGTTTCTCTAGTAAGTTAATAACACTTAAAAAGTGAACAAAATAATAATAGTTCACCTTATTTAAACATTTATTAGTTTTTATTTTTGAGTCCCACAACCCACTAAAATAAAAATCTTTATTATCCAAAGTTTTTAATAATAAAATTGAATAAAGCACTTCTCGTACAAAATTCTTGTAAAGAAAATAAAAATCATTATCTAAAAATTTAACAATAAAATCTTAACTATCTACCGGCCCCCCAAAAAATGATAAAGTATTAGAATAGACATGAAATAAATCTATACTATATTAGAGCATCAGTATCAAACTCGTTATTTATTTATGTTAGTTATTTTATATCCAAAAATTAGTAAAGGCATCAAATCGTTGCTCCATCAAACTCGGCAAGGCAATTGGCAATTTTTATCAAATCCAAATCCCTCGCTACAAATAACCAGCGACAAAGGCTCGGCTATTGGACTGGAATCGGAAACTTTTGAGCAACGGTACAATCTCTCTCGTCCTCCAAAATTTGAAATAATCGAGACTTTGGGTAGATTTTACACAGCACTGTTGTCAATCTTCTCTATGTAAAAGGTTGCTTTTCTTCTTCGTTTACTTGTCTCTCAAATCTCCCAAAGCTCACTAATCACTGAAACTCCCTGTTTCAACCTCTCAACAGGCTTTCCAATTCTGGGTAATTCTCATACAAAAATCTCAATTAATTTTTGCATTGATTGATATATATATATATATATATATATGTATATGTATATGTATATGCATATGTAAATGTGATAATTGATTAGTTTCTGTTTTAACTATTTGCTTCAAAATATGATGGTTTGAATTTGATTGGGTAATGTTTCAATTCTGCAAATTGAGTTGTTGATATTTGAAAGTTCTGATCTTTGTGGTTTAAGAAAGTAAAAGAATAGGGTTTTGAAATAGCTATATTATTTTGTTATTATAATGGAATCAAAAATCTAATATTATCAGGGGTTATTCTTGGAATTCACTGCTTGTATTTAAATTGTTGGGTAAATCCAGAGGTTACTGTCCCTTGATGCTCGGATATTGTCCTTGTGAAATATGTTTCAAAGGCGCTCAGTTGATGCTTACTGCTAGAATAATTATGTTGAACCAAGTAAGGTTCTGCATAGCTACACAAATTTTCTTTACTGGATGCATTTAGTTCATGTATAACTTTATCTGTTGAGGATAGCCTATTAGGGTTTAAGTGTAATTTTTGCATTTGGGCACCTTATGGTCTTGAATTGTAAACTGAATTTCATTCTTGTTAAAATCTTATTGTTGTCGAGTACTTGCATTTTCATCGAATTCGATTGAAACTTGTGGGGAAATTTCCTTTTTTTTTTTTTGAGAATTGTCCAAATGGTGACTTAACCATACAAGAATTGGTAATTTTTCTTTTTATTTTGCTTGTATATGGAGGTACTTAATGAAAGGGAACAAGAATGGATTAGCATCAACATTTTATTAGTAGTTTACTTTGTGAAAGTGTTTATCTATGTTGACAATGCTTAATGCATTGCAAAGAGTGTTAATTTGCTTGATGATGATGTTGAAATTTTTTTCCTTCCCTCGTGAGACTTAGGATCACAGATTAGCTTTTTTCACTTCTTCCAATGTACTTAGGATCACAGATAAGCAAATGCATTTTCCAAAAGCAGAACCAAACATAACAAATGCATTAAATACCACGGAATTTAAGAAATAAAAAATTGGAATACTCACATTTAGGACACCTGCTTCAACTATACTAGAGTTAACATAATCTTTGTCGTTTTCGTTGAAATTCTCAGCCATGCTTCCATTACCATTGGATGATGAACTGAAACTACATTGCACCTTCTTGTACATTTGCATACATAGTTGTTGACACACATTAATCCTAGTACCATTGACTCCTCTGATTCCCCATAATCCACTTGTAAGTATTTTTGCCTTCTTTAAGGGACCATTAACAGGCAGAGAGTGAACCCCAGTTTGTTTTGCTCGGACAGAAGGGAAAATAACCGGTCGTTGCAGAGAACCCATCTCACCTCCTTAAGACCTATGAGAAAACAACAATAATTATGATATATATATATATATGTATAACAGAAAGAACAAATACTCAACATATATCTATTCATATGGATATATGTGAAGTTTAATCAATGTGTTGACATATGGATTAATGATCACAAGCAATAGATGTTTATGAGTGGCTGATCTATGTTAATGATCACAAGCAATACATAGTTTAGGTTCTATTATTTGATATGTTTTTTCTTTTTTTAATTTCATTAATCTTGATCTTCATGACTGACAAATTGATTTTTTTCACAGCTATTTGAATTGCATGAGCTCAATGGTGAAACTATAATTTGTAGAAAATAGACAAATTCAAAGTAGGAAACAAAGACAGTTTCAAGACAACATTACTGAGTTTACAAATTAGAATTCTTCCAATTTAGGCACTTTTCTTCAAATAATTATCATTAATCACGAAATACGTTTCAAGCTCTCTCTCACACACACAGACTCGTACAGAATTCAATAGTCTCTGACACAACTATCAACTTTGAATGATTAAATAATCTTTCAATTCAAAGTGTTAATTTGCTTGATGATGATGTTGAACTTTTTTTTCCTTCCATCGTGAGACTTAGGATCGCAGATTAACTTTTTTCACTTCTTCCAATGTACATTGTAAATTGAATCATCATTCACCATTACAATGGAATGATCATTTCATAGGATGGATTCTCAGACACCAACGGATGCGTACTTCACCAATCTATTACAAGCGGGATCCAACCTTTTAGGTGAATTTATGATGAAATCTCCAAATCAAATGGGTCAATGTTCAAGCCAACATGGTGAAGTGGCTGAGCAAGAGTCTCCATTGTCACCCCAAATAGAATCCACCACAAAGAAATCACAACGTGGTAGCAACTTTAGTACAGAAGAAGACAATCTCCTTATATCGGCATGGCTCAATACAAGTTTGGATGCAATACACAGAAATGAGCAGAAACACAAGACATATTGGAATAGCGTTTGGGAGTATTTCCACAAGTACAAGACTTTTACTTCTGAACATTATCAGAATTCTTTAATGAATCGGTGGTCAACTATTCAACTTGGAACCAATAAGTTTTGTGGGTTCTTTGCTCAAATTGAATCAATGCATCAAAGTGGAGTAAATGAGCAAGACAAGGTATACATTGTGTACACACCGTTAAATTAGATGTAATTGTCATTTTGTTTGAAGATGCTAATTAGTCTTTATTCATTTAATTTTTCAGATTGGCAAGGCCAAACTTATGTATCAGGAATTCCAGAAAACATCATTTCCTTTTGAACATTGTTGGAATGTGTTGAGGTACCAACCAAAATGGTTAGAGGAATGTGAGAAGAAAAAACCGAAAAAAAAAAACATCAGCAACATCTTCTCCTTTTGCTCCAGAGGCGATAAATCTAGCAGAGGATGATGTCTCACATGATGCTTATGTAGACTTAGAGAGGCCACTAGGCAGGAAGGCTGAAAAAGAACGATTGAATAAACGAAAGAGTAAAGAAAAGATTTAGCTGGTTCAAATTATGCAGGGATATTTGAATAAACGAAAGAGTAAAGATTTTGGTTTCTCATTCAAAATACTGTTGCCATTATGATGAATTAATAAATAAATAAATATTTAGCTACTGAAAAAATAAGTAAATAAAAAATAAGGAATATTTAAATTGAATGGAGAAAGAAATTGAGAGTTTGTTGGAGCATGACAAGAAAAATAAGGTTAGCTAAAATAGAAAAGTAGGTTTTTAGCTACAATTTAACTAAACATTTAGCTACTTTGATAAAGATGCTCTTACAATCTTATGTTAATCAATATTAGATAAATGTAAAAAAATTAATAATGTCATCAAAGTATAAATAAAAATAAAAATTTTATCCTTCAAAGTTTATTTTAGCACTTTTAAACAATAAATAAAAAAATAATTGACCAAATTGTACCTTCCAGAACCAGTTAAAACCCACCACCCCAATAGCCACCACTACCAATTTCTATCTCTCACATGCATTTTTTCAAACACCTTATATGCATTGCTAATCACCCAAATAAAAACTGATCTTTCCTGAAAAAAAAATAAAAAATAAATAAAAAAATAAAAACTAATCAAAAGAACATATTACATAGTCTAACTCTCAACAACCACGAAGTTTAAATAATGTTACTGAAGTCCCAAAAAAGAAAGATGAGGATCATGCATCAGTAATGCATGTCACCACGAACCATTCAAATGGGTGTTCAATGGTCATTACGCTTGTACACAAATATAATCACAAACTTCAAATATACCTTCAATTATGTGGGTAGTTTTTTAATCAAGGGGTCAATAAATTTCCGTGTAATCTATACATATTCATGTCAATGTATTAATTTGTTAATGGAAAACTTTCTTCTTCTCGATGAAAAAAGATTTGCATCATTGTTGTTTAAAAACGATTCAGATTCTCCTACTAATCTAACAACAATACTCGAACTTCAAAGCCTTTATTTGATCAGTGCTCCCAGCTCAATCAATCACCCATGAAAATTTCACATAAAAGCTAATCAAATTAAGTGCACCACCACAAGTCCATGACCCTATTTCCTCATTTTACCTAGAATATTCTCAAACATACCATATTGCCATTGCGACCAATCTCACTTCAAAAGTTCCAAACTTGAATTCTAAATCAAACTGTTGAATATTCGTTATTACATTGCTGTTGAATTTCCAGAAATCTCTTTAAGACAAAAATCAACAAAAAAAAATTCGAGATTGTGCCTTCATCAATAAAATTGATTATATAATTAATCAAACACAATGCCTAATGGAAACAAACCTGCTGGAAAAAGAATTAGAGTAACAAACCTGCTGGAAATATACTTGTTTCACCCAAAAAAATTAATACACAAGAAAGAGAATTAGACACCTCAAAAAAATACTACCAAATTCAGAAGAAACTCAGAAAAATATACTTGGTTTAAAGAAAGAAATACCCAAAAAAAAAATATACTTGCTAGAAATATAGAAGAAGATTCTTCACCTGAACAGTATACCAGATTCTTTTGGTTTACTCTCTTGCTGGAAATATACCAGATTCTTCTTTTAGATTCGTCATTTGCAGTGGCTCCATTCAGTCGTCGTTGCCACTGTTGATGAAGATTGGGATGACGGAGAGAGAGAGGGAGAAAGAGAGAAGACGAAGAGAGTAATAGGGGGTTCGGGGTTGGGTCTCCGGCAAGAGCTGGGCTCCGATAGGAATTGAAGAAGAGCACAGGAATAAGCTCCAATGGAGAGAGAGAGAAAGAGGGCTTGTGCTCAAATTTTGAAATTTGGAAGAGAGACAGATTTTGAGATGAGAGTAGGTGTGAGAGAGATTTTGGAACTTACATTTTGAACCATCAGATCTTGATGTTAATTGATCTCAACCATTGAGATGTTCAAATAGGACAAATGAGAGTAAGATATTTTCAACCATTAGATTTAATCCATCTAACAGTCCATATGTTGACACATATACATTTTGAACCCTTGAATTCAAACCAAGCCTTCCATTGTTATATAGATTGTTCAGATAATTTTTAATATAACTGTTTTATAACTTCAAAAATAATAATAATAATGTTTGGATAAAAATGACGTTAAAGAACAGAGGTTATTTTTTAGTTTATGTAATTGCCTGTACTTTCCTTTTTGCGAGAGAGAGATTGGGTTGTAATACAAAATCTAATTAGAATGCCGAATGGATGATGAATTTCACTTACTCGTTCATTTGAGATATGTACAGAGATCGCATGAATTATAATTTTATTTGCATTTGCAATACATTTCATTTGAATTTGGAATAATTTAAGCTTAATTTCAAATTTAACTTTCCAATTTCTCTTCTCTTTCAACCCTCCAATGGGTTAATCAATAGAGCAGTTGTCAACACATTAGTAACGGAGCACATGTACTGTAATGAACATTTCAAACTAAAGTGAACATTAACGTTTAGGTCATAGGCAACATGTCTTCAAGTAAAATAAATCAATAGCTCTATCTATTTTAATTCTATCCATTAATCATCAAACCAAATGTGTTGTATTGTACATGTACTTGAATTCAAGGACACTGGAAACAGGAATGCAATAACAATGATAAACAGAAATGGGATTTCAATTCCAACCCTTCATTACTGCCGACCGCACTGTCTTCCCGGCAAATCATCATAGCATGAAAGAGAACAGACCTCTATTTTAATCTGTTAAAGGGTCTGCAGCGATGAAGCGAAAGAGATAAACCTTCTTCTTTCACCAACATTTCTTCCCTGGCAATCTCGAAGCTTGAGCTTACCTTTGGAACCTAACGAAAGAACTAAAAATATTTGGCAGACGTAGAGATATTTACTAGCTACAAGTATAAATTACATGATGTGCTGCAATGGCCATCTACTGCTCCTCTGAGTTGAATCCGTTCCAAGCTTCCTGAACACACACAAAACAAAAACAATAAATAGAAAAGTACTGCAACGATTATCAAGAACTGTTAGTTACTTCAGACCAAACTTGAGTAATTTGTTTGGAAGTAATTTGAGTTAAATAACGCTCATGGCAAAGATCAGTCCATTACATTTGGGGTTAAAGAGGGACAAAGTTACTGTAACATTAAGGCCATGTTTGATTCCACAAGACTAATAGTGAGGTATTAATAATCCAATCAAATTAGTGTGGTATTCACAATCTCACCCCTGCCCCATTACTAATAATCCTACAAATTTGTTGGATTAATTATCCATTGGATTGATAATCCTAAAACAAAATGTCAAAACAAACATAGGATAATTGGGCCCGCGGATTAATAATCCCAATCCCATACTCTAATCCTTCCAATCAAACATGCCATAAAGGTCCATCTCATACTGTCATAACTGAAGCTTGAACTTGGCTAGTACTCTTTTCGTTCCATTTTATTTATTTTTATTTTTTTTGGGGGGTAATCGGATGTTAATAAGTGAATAATGATCAATTAACCAAAGAATCATTTTTACTATTCAAATTTTGATGCCAAAACTGGGCTTCATGTGCATAAGACATTTCATCAGGTAAATTATCGTATCAACGCATTCCTTGAATACGACCTCCATTTTTACAAAACTAGCATGTATGGAGAAGTAGTAAGTACAATTATGGTATAATCTCAATTACCAAGGTATTCATGTGGTTAAATAAACTATAATTTTAATCATAGATGTATAGTACAAAGTTTAAGACATACTATTGAGGTGTACCAAAATGCCAATACAAGAAAACTATATCAAGCTCAACAGTAACATTTTTGCAGTAGTAACTTGGGAACAAGCATTCATTTATCAAGCTTTAGAGAGAGAGAGAGAGAGAGAGAGATTATTATATGCTCACTTTCACCTATATGTAGCATGGAGAAAGGCTTTATTTCATAGTTTTTTTGAACATAGTCATTGATCAAATTGGTAAAAGAAAGCGAAGCCAGTAAAATACCTTCAGAAGATCAAAAACCTTTTCACATATATACTTTTGCTGAAACACTTGCACCACGTTGTTGTAATTTGTCAGGGTGAACACATAGAGTGGCTTTCCTGTAAGCTTTCTTAACAGCCGCAGAAGTTATAACTTCAGCCAAGGGAATTCGCTGCCAACCACTATCAGGCCCAAGGATCTGTGGATGATGAAAATGTAATTTAGAGCACAAGTAAATGGAAAATTACAGAAAAAGGAATCAGTCAGTGTAACCAAGCAAGGATGAGGATCAATATTGTAATACTGAACTATGTCGATCTCGATCATCTATTGAACTACACATATGAACGAGGAAGAGAAATGAAAGACTCTGACTGCATCTATTAGCAGACAATAATTGATATATTGATGCAGAATATGGACCTTGGTCAGGCCACATCTCCATGTATTAGTTTTCAGGGGCAGGATATTCAAAAAATATTCTGTGCCAGCAGCAAAATCCTCACTCTGGCCAATAGTTCAATGCAGATGAAGTAGCATGAGAAAGAGTAATTTCATTTCGTTCTATGCCTTCTTCATACTAACATACACTACAAGAAATTACAGCTTTGGCGACTAATTTTGCCGACTAAACTCAATTTAGTCGCCAAAGGTGTATACATTAGCTACTAAAAATTTTTTGGTCACCAATGGTACACACATTAGCTACCAAACATTATTTGGTCGCCAAATAAAGACGCATTAGCTACTAAACTGTTTTGGTCGGTAAATGTGACCTACTTCGCTACTAATGTGGAAATTTATTCAAGTAGGCTTCCATTGCCCTCCCATATGATTTGTTCTTTCCTACTTAATCTGATCCAAATCTCAAAACTATTTTTTCTGGTGCAGTGATTGATTCATCTATGTAGTTAAACTCCACCATTTATCAAAGCATTGGCATTTATCAAATCTCCATGTATTAA